TTCAAATAGGTTATTAACGTAAAGGCAAAACAGTCTGAAGTAGCATTTTAAATGATATTAAAGAAACCAAATACTACACAATAATGCTCGATTGCACTCCATATGTGTCTCATACAGAAAAAAAATTAACCAGGTGATTCAATACGTAAAAGGGCATGATGATGTGTGTGAGATAAAGGAAAATTTAATTGATTTCATAGAAGTTGGTGGAAAGACAGGAGAATGTATTTCTAAACGCATTGTAGAAATCTAGTGTCTAAATTGACATTTAATGGTTTAGTTATTGGACAATGTCGGTATCAGTCTTACGATAACGGGTCTAATATAGATGACATTTCTAAATCAGTACAAGCTAGGATTACAGAAATGAATAAGCTGGAGGAATTTGTGCCATGTTTGGCTCGCTCCTCGTATCTTGTCGGTGTGCATTCTGCTTCTTCGTGCACGGAAGCAGTTAAATCTGTTTGCAATTACTCAGAAAATACTTCGCTTTTTTGTCGGATGCACTACTCGATGGTGTATTATGAAACAATGTAGAAACTACAACTTAAAAGGAAGCAGCCAGACGAGATGGTCGGCAAAATATGTGGCTGTGAAAGTCATTCTAATAAATTTACCGTAAATATAAAATATTTAAGAGAAATTAAAGCTATTTCTCTCGATGCACAAGGTAGGACATCTCGTACATGCTGTGAAAAATTTTGAATTTACTATCAACCTGAAAATTTGAGCTAATATTTTTCCAGAATTCAATCGAGTAAATATAGATATTCAAAAGGAGTTCCTCTTCCGCATTCTGTGTAGTTAACGAAAGAACTGACCAAAACTGAGGATTTATAAAAAAATGAGAGGAAAATCCTATGGAATATTAGATACAAGAATCTGAAACAGTAGCTGAAAGAAATGCATTTGAGTCTATTCTGACAAAAAACGATTTCCAAAGCACAAAAAGTAATCTGATGAACTGTTTGAGGAGAATCACGAACACTTCAACCTGTTTAGATTGAAGTTACAGCAAATTAAAATATACTAAAAAATATCTACGATCATCGGTGAGCCAGGAGCGTTTATCAAGTCTTGCGATTCTGGCAACCGAAAATCAAACCGCAGATCAAATTATGACGATTCCATACATTTAGTTGCAGAACAAAAAACTTAAGAGTAAAATTTTAATTTTCGTTACTAATTCCGTGATATTTTAATAGCGTTAAGGTAAGAATTAAAATTACTTATGAAATAGGAAGTATGAAAAACAAGAGAGAAGCACGAATACTCTCGGTAATAACCCATATTCTGTATAATTTCAGAATATTTCCTTTCAGCGATAGGCATTTCTCGGCGATTTTCCCATTAGTGGCTGAGCAATAAAAGCTACTGAGCACTAGTAGTTCGATCCGAGGGTCAAGTATATGTGAATGTGCTGGTTGTATGAGCATTTCCGTGATTTTCCCCCGTGTTTAGCACAGATACGAGCTAGTTTTTCTTTCAAATTTTTTCCACTGGGCATTCCTCCTTTCCCATGCGGTGCTTAATGGCGAAATACATAGTAAATAATCAGACAAATGTCCTCAGCAGTGGCCGAGTGATTAAGACCGCTGAATACTGGTAGTTCGACATTGCCTGGGTTCAAACCCGAGGCGAACGGGCTGGCTACATGGTTTGTTTTCGTGGATTTCCTCATGTGTAACATGAATACGAGCCAGTTTCCTTTAAAAAGTTTTTCCACGAAAGCACCTTCCTCTAACAGATACGAACCAGTTTCCCATAAACAATGTTTCCACGGGGCAAGTAGGGAATGGGGAAACCGGTTTAGGGCCACTCCATCTAACTTCCTACCTCCATGGCGAGGACTGGAGGGTTAGAAGCACTCAGGATTAGAGTTAGGATTAGGATTGAATCCGAAAGTAAGCTCAACAGAAAGGCGATTCTCCTAGGAGGGGATGATTTTCTAATTATGTAACTTTGGTACGTATTTTTCCTTTATAACAAAAAAAAAAAAAAAAGGGCATGTAAAGAATTTAGTATAAACTGCAGCTTAGGTTTTTATCTCAAACCCTATCTATTTCTGTATTTATTAAACACATTAAAATCTGTTATAGAAACTTAAAGAATTATGGGTGAGGGCGGAAGTTTTAGCTTTTGCCCCACATCAGAAAAATCAAAGATCCGGCACTGATTTGATACATCTGAATAAATGAATAATGTTTCTGCAAGTAAAGTAAAAAACTCATTAAATATTAGAAATAAAATTACATTAAATATTTAATATTCTGAGATGAAACTTAGATTTAGAAAGATTTAACTCCGCTTTCGCATACACCGCTAAAGTGTCGAGAGGCAGGAGGATTCGTTATGCCACTGATTGGAAAAAGTGGCCGAAACACCACTGAATTCTTCTGACTTACTTAGTTCCCTTAAAGCTACTTCCACTTCAAGCAATTTTCTTTCCAACAAAATTAATCACATTATCAATGAAAATGTTTTGCGGTAGCCATCAACGCTCAGCAAAACTCTTCAATGCAGCAATAAAGGAATAAGTTGTTAAATTTGAAAGGTGATGAGCTTTTACTGTCATGCAAACGAATAATACAACATAAGCCTTAGTAGTCCTTGCACCACGTCCTTTGCTATTTTTATAGTTATTGTTCCTGCATAGTTTGACAGTACATTTGAAAAATGACCTGTTCCTTTGGAAAGCCAGCGCACACTACAGTGAGCAGTTACTACCATCCTGTTCCGGAAAAAGGCTTACAAAATCGTAGTTGATTCAAAACTCGAACTCGTATTTTGTTGATTCAGTGCTCTACAGGACCATCAACAGAAGACAGGTTTAAGGCCCATTGGCACAAAGAACTTCTTGATACAGTGATATACTTAAGAACTTTTCTTCCCAAATAATTTTCAAAAAATGTAACAAAACCTTTTATTCTAACAACCATTATCCTACCAACCATGCAAGACGCCCCATCTGTGTAAACACTATCTAATTTTGTCCACTCTACTTTGTCAATTTCAATTACATTTTTAAGTTCTTCACAAATTTCCTCCCGAGTTAAATCTAGTTTGGCGCAAATCAAGATCGTTAACACAATATCGAAATTATTGTTCATGTAAAACCGCTATCACATATGCTATTCCTAGACAGAACACGGTGTCGAAAGTAACGTTTCACTTGGTAAACACAATTGAAAGCCAAGAAAAAAATCGGTTATCGCTCAGATTGTCAAAAGGGACGTTTACTTTCAAATTACATGTTGTATCTTATATCGCACACACTCTTTTCATTTTAAACTTGTTTGTTATTTATGGAAGATAATGGAACTGTAGTGGAAAGCATAAAAAATAAATAAATAAATAAACCTTTTACGACAAAAATCTATATGGCTGATATTTACATCCTCATAGCCAGCAGATACTATACAGCAAAATGAAGATTAAATAAAGCATATAAATACACGAACACTCAAACATGTGTGTTAGTTACTGTCCCATATGAACACTCGATAACATACCCAAAACACATTAATTTTACCACCTCTTAAAATCAGGAGATGTACACAGTGCCCTATATGTTTTAATTGATCAAATGCTTTATAAATGCATAGCTGTTAAATTTCTTGTTATTCATAAGCCATGCTGATACTGTGTGAATCATACGTAGGTTATAATTGTGTATTATCCCAAAAATAAAAAGTGTACATTCTTTTGTATCTATGTTCATCAATTATCTTTCAACTGTGTATTCTATAGCCATGATAATGAGCAGAGAACTCATGAGTTCACTTGCTGTCAATTACATCATCATTATATGAATTAGAAGTAACTTCTGTCATTGTTTCACAGAAGATATCTTTACCAAATTATCATTCAAATTCATCTGGAGACATTCACTTCAAAAGAGTGGCCTTTAAGATCAAATCAGATAATTCTTGATTTTCTGAGAAAGGGCTTAGCTCAACCAATCCTTCAACTGTTGGCTTTTATCCTTTCAGCTTCGGTATACGTTTCATTTAACAAAACTTTAAATTAGACCGACTTTTTTGTTTCAAGTAAAAAACTTTATCCCCTTTTTTTGTTTAGTTTCTTAATGAAACTTTTAGATTCTTCTTTTTTTAATTAAAGTTGTTTCTAAGCATTTAAATTAAACAAAAAGCAACATCAGGTGGACATTTTATTGATTTTGAGGGTGTTCAGACTCTGCTTCAGCAGGGGTTATGGGTAAGATCTGCATTGTAACAATTACTTTCACTTTGATTTCTTGTTCATATTGAAATGCTGATAACATCTCATCATCATTCAAAACCTCATATTTAGGATCATTTGAAATAAAATTCATTAATTTCACATTTATCATAGTTTAGATTCTTTCCAATCCTCTTTACATTTCTGAATCATTATCACATCCTTCCCCTCTCATTTAAAATTCCATTCCAGGATTTCGAAATGCTTTATTAGATTATCTTGATTGAAAAACATCAGCTTCTCTTCATCTCAATCTGATTTCAGTTTGACTTTAAAACTGGAGTGTTTGATTAATTGACATTCATTTATATGTGCATAAGAGTCAAACTGTTCATTTATTAGTTACACTACAAAATACTAATATCATAAAACTAAGAACTGTATATTAAAAAGGAGGCAATAAAGTTATTAATTAATTCAAATTCCTTAAGTTCATAATTTCTAACCAAAAGAAAAACATCACAGCTTGTACAATGATTAACACTTAAAAAATAATAGTAAATTAGAGGACATTTATGATATTCTCAAATACATATGTGCCAAGTGTGGCCACTACACCATGAAGGCATATTTTCACATACATATTATCTACACCCTTTATTTAATTTTAAAGCTATATCTATATAATTTTCTTTTTACTTATGTCAAGACCGATTACGTTATACATTTCCATCAGTCTTAAGATTAAAAAATAATTCCTAGTAATTCTTGCCTTCTTCTGTGAGTTGAAAAATAAGGACTTAAACAAAATACATAAAACTCCTCATTATATATATATTTATTTAAAAATGCCAAAAATAATAACAGCAGTTCTAGTACATACTACAAACATCTAAAACACAGCAGAATGCCAATCTAATTTTTCCAAAACCAAAATTATGATATTTGTTAAATACGTCGAATGGAATTTCACCTGACAACCTTTACAAAAAATGATGATCTTATAATATATACATATATACAGTTGCTACATAGCTTTAAGGCAAGTGTTTTTCACACAAGTTAAACAAAAATTTCTGCAGAAATTTCAATATCCAAAATCTTGCAAGATCTTTATGGATTTCTTTTGCTTTCATTCTTATGAAATCTTCTTTAAAAAATTCAGTATTGCACATTTATTATTTTTATGCCTTGAGTTTTATATTTTTAAATGCTTTTTTTCACTGTATCTTTGTATCACAAAATAAGCACATACAGCAAAAAAGCATAATAGTTTCAATATACTATCAAGTATACCATATTTACATTAAGAAATAATACCACACAATGCATTTCCAAGATTTAATATTTCAGTAATTTACATAAAGCAATTCAAATTTACTTTGAAATACAATATTCTCTTGAGAATTTTATTACATATTATAAATAAAATTAAATTTTTATAAAGTTAAGCAAAGAGCAATATATTTCCTTAATATCACACTATCAGAAGGCACTAAAACTTACAGACTACCACTTTATAGTTGAACTATGACAATTTTTTAAAGCATTTTTCACAGTGTAACGTGCATGCCACGACATTCCACTAAACAGAAAATAAAGGGAAGCTTACATATATAAGATATTACCTAAAGCAGGATTTCTCAAAACTTTCTTCATTTGTGACTTTTTTTGACTAGATGATTTTTTAATATCCCTTCACTCTGTTTACTTGATTCCATATGAATAAAAATTTAATATACTAAAAAGGTTTATGTTGAGATTAAATTTTAAAAAGTTACCAAGGTCACTGAAAAATGAAAAAATAACTAGCAATGATAAATCACACACATGCAATGAAATGCTAATTATGAATAACGAATTGTCTTGTGTTTTAATATATTATAAAATTATACAGTACAGGTAAGAATTTTAATAACCTAATTGCTTATTTAAAAACATTAATGCTTAAAAAATCACTTAATAATTTCTATTCAAGCCCAAATTTGATAACCCCTCATGCAAACAATACTAACTTTAAAAGATTGCCATACTTTCTAAAATACTAATGTTAATACATAAAGACCAACAAAACAATTCAACATTAAATCCTTATACATGCAATATATATATATATATTATACTAAATGATAATATATGATCAATCAACATCTATTGAAAAGATAAAACACAAATTAAAATATTCCTTACAGTGAACAGATTCTTATATGGTAAAAAAAAGGGGGGGGCCCTCAGATGAGAAAAATAGTAAATACAATAAAAAATTTATATTATAAATGTATAGCTTCATTAACAAACTGCATAATTTAAGGAATCACGAAAACAGAACATTCATTCAAATAAAAATACTATTTCTAAAGAAAAGAAATATTTCAATGCATATTCATTATCATGGAATTTCACCCTAAAGAATATGGAAAATAATACTTTGTGCATGGGAAAAATTTACAATATCCAGATACGTATTACATACAGAAAACCAAAATTCTTTTAATCAAATGAGATTAAAAAAAAAGAACTAAAATCCACAAAAAATGAATAATCTAAAATTAACTTCATCTTTCAACTCCCAATGTACTTACAGTTGCATACAGTATTGTTACCAGTGAATATAATCAGCAAACTGGAAAGATTTCTGCTCATATTAATAAAAAATTTTTTTAAAAAATACAGAACAATGAGTTATTTTGTACTAAAAAAAACTACAAAAAATACTAATTTTTCTTAATTCTACAAGCACATGCCTGTTGTATGGCTTTACACAACCTTTCTTTCCCTTTGCATAACAATATTTCACTCGAAATTTTTAAATTATGTAAGCAACGCATTTGATTTCATGAGAAAAAATAATCAGTAGCAAAAATTTTGCAGTTTCAGAAACTAACTTTTAACTATCTGGCTAGGAAAAATATATTTTGTTACCTAGACTATGACAACATGCTTCTACAAAAACTTGTTTTTAAATATGCACAGAAACAAGTAAGATTTATTCTATGCTCATAATAACACATATTTGTTCATCTTAAATAACATTTTTACATCAGTAAAATCTACATTGCACGGTACTACAAACACATGCAGACTTTGATTTATATTTAAAACAATATGCAACATCAACACTATAGAAAAAAATCATGCACTCATAAAGGATTGCAGACAAAATTATAAACCGTCATGACAAATGAAAAACATAAAAATTTTAAAAGTCATTAATACAGCACTGCAATTTAAAACATTAACAAAAAGCTATTAACAGCTCTAAGAAATTCATATGACAACCTTTTGGCATGTACAAAGTAAGATTTTAAAGAAGCTTGGTAACAAAGGGAGAATGTTTGCTCTGAACTATTTAAATATTTTTTGGATACCTTCCAGTGTTTCCCCCCCCCACACTTTTTTTTTAACCAATCTATATCTGAAAATAAATCTTAGGAAAATGTAAATATTAAAAACAAGAAAGTAAGGATACATTTTCATACATGAAAATTACTCAATTTGCATTTCATTTAACCACAAGTACCTTCTCAAACCTCAGAAGTACCAAGAAAACAGGTCTGAGTACCAACAGTTTATTATTACACACATAGTTAAGATCAAAATCTAGATTTAAAAAAGTATTATTGAGAAGTTTATAATACTTAGAAGTGCTGTTAAAACATTAAATGTGAGATATAGTTAACTATTGCTTATACAGGAATGCCATCCAATGAAAGACTTCTAATGGGATTGTGAGATTGAAACAGTTCTATAAATCTGTCTCAGAACTTCTATTATAAATGCTATAGAATATAAATGGTAATTAAAAAAAAAGTCAGTTTTCATAATGGTAAGACACTAACAGTATATAACATACACTTTTTCCTTAAAAATAGTTATAAGCAATTTTTAATAGAATTTAAATTATGGCTTCCAACATTACAAATAAAAAACTACCCCTAATTCAAAGTTAAAAAAAAATAGGAATTCTCTCATCTGTGTTCCTTTACCAACAGCAGCAGTATTAAAAGAAACATAAAAGCTACAACAAATATATTAATACATAATCAGTTTATAAATAAATATTTCTAAAATTATGACAAAATCTCTGGAGTCTGATGCAAAAACTGAGGCTGCGGTGAATTTGGAGAATGAGTTGTCCTTACAGGATCAGTTGCAACTGTCTTTGATTGTTGAAGTTGGTGCCATGTATCTCCTAACGCTTTTGCAAAGTGATCATCCACTGAAAATTTTGAAATTTAATCAAGAAAGAATTCAAAGAAAAAAATTACAAGACTAGATATGTCTATAAAAGATCACTTTTTTAATTAAATGTAAACATTTTACATCCCAGAAATTACTTTCAAATTATTTTTAACATAAATGAATAATTATTGACAGTTTATTTGTCTGTGTACAGTTGCATACAAATTTCTGGAGGTAAGAATTATGGAAATTCTATCCTCTACTGTACATTATGAATATAAGAGTGATTGTAGTAAATTTGACTCTACGGTACAAGTACACTTTGCCAGAATAGCCAATTCCTAAATTTTCTGGTAAATATAGCAAATGGAAATCGAAATTTTTATTGTGGTTAATATTCAGTTAACAGAAGTATTAAATGATGAAGGGGAAAAAATCTTGAAACTGCTCATGAACTTTCAGAACTCTATTTAAAGCTCTTCAAGATGAGTATGAAAATAAAAGAATCTTAACCGAGAGGCATATAAAATCAATAATGGACTTACATAAATTAACTTTCGAATCATTGAAGGGGATAAGATATGTATTAGATAACGTTACTAAAAATGAAAAGATTCTGAATGCATACTTGCCAACCTATAACACTCAAAAATCAGGAGACTTTTTAAAATGTTACAAAGACTTTTTAAATGATAAAAATATAGTTTTTAATAATGAATTAACTTTAAATAGTTACTAATTCTTAAATGCAAGCAACACAAAAATAACTTACACATAAGAAACATTTTTAGTACTTGCATCGTTTAAGGAAAAAAAAAAAGACACTTTTCGTACAAATGTTATGAAAACTGGCAGATTTTGCTTTCTTTAAGAAAGAAACTTCATAATTTTGTTCATAGCAACTGCCACATAGGCCTGTTTTCGCTAATAAAAGTTTTTCTAATGTGTCATCACTAATATTAGTTATGCAGCTGTTGGAACTGTTTCAATTTTTCCTTCATTTTAAAACTCCTTTCAAGATAATAATAAATATCAACAATGTGATCATCCACATTTATTTGTAAAGAAGCTGCCCCTTTTTTCAGCTGCTAAATTTAAGAGGTGACATGTGCACCTCATAATCTGCAAATCTGAATTTTCCTTTCTTAAGATGATTGCAACAACAGTCTTCAAGCCTATCATTACTGGTGCATTATCGGCACCAAGTGCTAAGCAAATTATCCAGAGGAGCTGCTTTTTCTTTTAAAGTTTTAATAATTAGCTATGCTATATTAAAGCCTATCAAATCTCCTTCTAAAGTGGGGACAGAAAGTAAACTACACTCAACTTCTGAAGACTCTGAATTTAAAAAAAGAAACAACTGGATACAGTTTTGAATCCATCCGAAATTTGGCTATTATTGCTTCCATCCGAAAAGAGGCAGAACGGAGCTGTTTTAATGCAATCAATAACTGAAGATTTTTTTTTCAAACCCATTTCTTTAACAATTGCACCTGTTTTGGTCCTTGAACTTGAGTATTTCTTAGCGATTTTACTATCAGGGAAACATTTTTTTAAATAAAGCTGCAGCGTATGCATTCAGTGGCAGGTTAAGGCAGAGAACAGACATTCTGCATTAATAACTTTTTGGTCCTTTGTTTCCGAAGAAAAATTTAATTTTTCGCTTTTTCAAAACAACTCATGTTGTCCTTGTGTTTTTGTGTAGGCACATGTTTGAGAACATCCGCCCTTCCACCATGCGAAGCCGAAAAATCACAACGACAGGCAGTACACATCGCAAATTTCTTACATTTCCTTGAGGAAATAATGGAAGGATAGTCAACTGTGTATGATTTTTGAAACATACACGAGCATTTCACCTTTCTCGCAGACATAACAAAAGATGATAATTTCTAAAACTATTTCCCGAAGGTACGTGTACTCTCACAACTCAGGACAAAATGACCAAAATAACTAAAGAACATACAAATAACAGCCTTGAGCTTGCTTTGTGCTCATTAGCTGATATGTGCCAGATGACACGTAGTGGAGTTCAATGCCCATTGGAGAACTGGAGAGACGTTTTTGGATACGTATGCTGTCACTCACAAAGTAGAAATTCTCATCTGATTCACAAGGTTTTGTTTTAGATATAATCTAGATAAAATTAAACTGCTTTCAGACGTCCAAAATCACTTTTTTGGGGGGGGTTCATATAACGAAATATTAAGCCAAGTTCCATAAAAATCGCGAGAAATTTTAAAAATAAGAAAAAGTCGGGAGAAATATATTGTAAATCGGGTTGGCGGGAGGGCAGTCGAAAATCGGGAGAGTTGGTAACTCTGTGAATGTTTTAAAGTACGAAAAAATAATTTATTGAATATTCTGGTTATTAAATATTATACTTCAGAAACTTATTAAACTTAAATTTCATTTCTAGAAAAAAGATGTCAATTATTAGATAACATTAATTGAAATACTAGCACAGTGAAACATCCGTTAGAAAAAAGTTCAAACTCAAAGGCTCTGATGATATTGATTAAAATATTTCAATTGGAATTAATGGTTTTTGTCAATTGGAATGATATTATTCATCATCAACTATCCGGAATAGTCAGCTCCTATTAACAGTCTGATATCTGGCGCATCTCTACCAGAATCATCGATTGATTTAGTGTTATTGATTAAAATCAATAACACTCTGACCTGCCCCATATGCAAAAATAATCATCATCTTCTACAAAAATATGACTCATTTTTAAAATTAAGTCCAAATCAAAGATATGAAATTGTTAAAAACAATAAATTGTGTTTAAACTGTCTTGGTAAGGAACATTTAATCATAAAATATAATTCAAGTTCATATGTTCCAAATCCCATAAAAACTTCATTTATTCATCATAAAATATAATTCCAAGTTCATATGTTCCAAATGCCATAAAAACTTCATTTATTAATCCATCACCTACTCAACAATGGTGCCATCAATCAGCAGTAAACCAAAGCAAAGATGGAAGCATCGAGATTATAAATAAGAATGCATGTATGTGATTTTCACAAAAATCAATCAAGCTGTCTTTTGACATGGAGGAAAAAAATGTGCTATTAGGAAATGCAATAGTATGTTAGTAATTCAGAAGAAATAAGAATTCCAATTCGCACCATTTTAGATGCTGGAAGTCAGAGCCAGGAAAGGGGTTAAGCATGTGAGGCACTTGCCTCAGGTGAAGATATAGAAGGGGCACAAAATTAGCTGCAAAATTTTATAAATGTATTAAAATATAAATTATTGTCAACATTCATTCAATTTTAAAATGTATCGAACGGCAGTGTTAAAATATTGTAAAAGCAATAAAAAAGGTGCTATATTTTTGAGCATGTGTACACTCAAGTGCTTTTATTTAATCAATAAATCAAATCAAAAGATTAATTAATTCTTAATGATTTAATATTTAAAATGAGACAGAAAAATCCTTACCACATTTTCTATAACTTTCAGCTCATTATTACTGTTTTACATTTGTATAAATCCCTTAAATTTATATAAAGGATCAAATGCTTATATCATTGCAATGGTTTGAAACTAAGAGCCTCTTTAAGCAAATCAATTTAAAATTTTATGTGTGAAATTTAATACTGCAAGAGATAAAAAAAGGCAATTAAGATACCACAATCTAAAACTTAACTGAACTTAAAGCTTTATGCTTAACCTAATATCAATTCCCAACAAATTAGTTAGCTGCAAGGGTATTTTTATCGTTTTACCAGTGTGCAAATTAACATCAGCATATTTCTTGTAAAACGTCCTCCACAACGACATCTCTCTCCTTAGGCAAATAGCCCATATCTTGCTATGCCATACTGAACCAAACATGTAAACACGATAGAATTATCTCTAACTCTTGATCAATATATCAGCCAAATACGAAGAAAATGAAAAACAAAAAAATTAGTAAATCAGGTGATCAAGAATCAACTGATAAAAGAACTAATACTTTTTTTGTAGTGGAAACATAAGACTATACGAATATTAGTTCACAGCTAAAATGGAGATGAAAAATTTAATGAGACAGCTTCCAATTTCCAGTTTCTAAATGGTGCAAATTTAATATTATTGGATTAAAGTATTTTTGAAGAGCATCTTAGCACTTGAATATCCAAATGATATAAATGCTGAAGGTATTCATTCCTGCAAAAATACCTAGTTTTCAAATACCACATTTCAATAACTCTCATCACTAAAGCAAGATCAGATCTTTTAAAGATGATTCAAGAATACTGTTTAGTGCAATCATATCTGAATTCGGAGCTTGCATTAAGACTATTTTTAGCATTGCTATTTACTGTTGTTTCGGTAAGAGAACTTCAGAAAGCTTAAAATTTATTACAAGATTACACCTATGCTATGATTTAGTACTCTTATCTTTGTTCAATATAAAAATGTAAAAGACACAGTTAATGTTATTGTATATAGGGGTACACATTTACCTGTTTGCCTCAGGTGAAAAAATACCTAGTCATGGCTCTGCTGGAAGTATGTCAAGTTTTATGACACAAGGAATTGCCAGTTTGTTTATTATAAAGAAATAAAAAATTTATCATACTTGCCAACCTATGACACTCAAAAATCAGGAGCTTTTTCCACAATGTTAAAAAGACTTTTTGATTTTAAATTTTGAAAATATAGTTTTTAATAATGAATTAACTTTAAATAGTACAGTCAAAAGTCGTTAATACGGACTCATCGGGACTTCAGCGATTCCGGATTATCGATTTTTCCGGATTATAGATCATCAGTTTAAATCTGGTAAGATGGCATGCAGAAATTACAAAATTAAAAATATGAAACCATAATTTATGAAATAAAGAACAATTATGATCTAAAGGGTATCAAAATTTACAAAAAGAAAAAGCTTAATATTTATTTGTTTACTTTATTAAACATTTCTTTCAATGTAAGTTGTTTCGTTTCATGTGATAATACTTTCTCTTTGATTCTATTAAACAGACATAATTTCTTGTTTAGTTACAAAGTTCCGCTGTTCAAGTCCTATAATT